GTCTCCAGAAGCTCCGCTCGGCTCCCCCGCGCCCCCCGAGTCCCCACTCGCCGCGCCCCGTCTTTCCTCCCGAGCACGTGGGTCCAGTGGCGGCAGATTAGATCAGGGTCGTCCCCTCTTGTCCCAGCCCCGTGGCCCCCGGGTCGGTTTTGACTGGCCGGTGCTTCTGGTTATGCGTCGGACTTTCCGGCATTTTCCGTGCCTCTGCCCGGGCCCTGCGGGCGTCACGTGCGGCCCACGGGCACTAACGAGGATCGCTGGCCTAGGAAGCCGGGAGCCGAGAGCCCGGCCCCGGTCGAGGCACGAACTGGGGAAAACTAGCGCCAGGTGGGCGGCTGTAGAGACGCCACAGGCTCCCCGACCTGCCACGTGGGACGCGGGTCCAGCGCTTTCTGCAGCAGGCAGGTAACTGCCGGAGCTCAGCTGCCCTCCCCGGGGCCGAGCTAGAAACTGTCGGCGCCTCCCGGGGACCCCCAGGAATGGAAGCCGCAGGGCAGGGGCTCGGTGAGTGGCACCCCACGGCCCCTCTCCCGGGGGGCTCCGCTGTTGAGGGTCCCCAAGGCACCCAGGAGGCCTCTCCTTACCCAGGCTCCGGGGGTCATCCCCGGGGTCACAGTGCCACAAGGTCCCTCCAGGTGGGGCCCCCCATGGGGCCGGGAGGTGCAGGTGCGCAAGGGGCTTAGTGAAAACCCAGCCCTGGCCTGAGGTCGAGGGGCCAGCACCATTCAGGGGTCCCATCCCGTGGGCAGTGGGCTCCAGGCCCAGGGAAGCTTTCGGGGTGTTCTCTGTTGGAGGGTGCCTGCCGAGGGACCCTGAGTGGCGCCCCAGCGACGGCCGGCGCGGGCGTGTGACGGGACATGGCCCCCCTCCCAGCTCCATCCGCGGGTCCCGGCTCCAGGCCTGCGTCAGGCGGGAGGCATCCGCTGGGCCGCGGGGGGATTAGGCGCCAGCTGCTCCGGCCGNCACCGACAGCCGTGGCTGGGGTGACAGGCCCACTCCCGTTGCCCCCGGTGCAGCCCCAGCGGAGCTCCGGTGCCCAGGCCTCTCCGGGGGGCAGGGCCGGCGGACAGCAGCCGAGGCTGCAAGTAACGGAGGCGGCCGGGAGCAGGGGGCTCGAGGGGGCCGGGCGCGGGCACGGTGCTGCCCTCCAGGAACGAAAGGTCATTGTCACCTCAGGACGCAGAAGAGGGAGAGGAAAGGCGGCAGGTGGACACGGGGGGGGCCCAGGGCCAGGCCACGTCCGAGGGATGGAGACCCTCACTTCGGCCACAGCTGCCCAGGCTCTCCGGGGTGGGGGCAGCTTCAGACCTGTCCCAACACTCCCGTCTCCACCAGGCGGTTTCGGGGCCACCACCCTGCGAGTTTCCACTCTCCAGTGAGGGATGGGCCCCCAGGGAGGGTCCCCTGCTGGGCGGAGGCAGCTGGCTCGGCGTGGATGCCCTGAGTCCTCCGGCCTCTGGATGTGTCCCAGGTGGGCCGGGCTGGGGTCTGCCCTGAGTTACCCCACCAGAGGGACTTGGGGGAGCCAGGAGGGCCCCCCACCCCGCCCTCCACGGCCGGCGGTTCCCTGTCGACAGAGGGCGGGGAGTGTGGGGCCCCCCGGCTGGGGCTCGGCGACCTGCCAGGTTCCGACCCCTTGCCAAGCTTAAATACCACGTGCACGGGTTCGGGTGATAAAAATTTAAAGACAAAAGATTTTAAAGTTACTTCATTTCGGGGGGGG